TCTGCTCCCGGGCCTGCAGGTGCCGTCAGGTGCTGGCCATGCTGCTGGCTGTTCCCCCACCCCAGACGGGAGAGGCAGGAGCCGGAGCCGGGCTGTGAATTAGCTGCACCACGGAGTCTTACTGTCCACCCCCCACCAATTCCTCTCCAGCCCCCCAGGGACCATCTCAGGTTGGGGCCCGGAGGAGGCAGAGGGGCTAGGGGAGCACTGCTGGAGACCAGACAGGGAGGTTGGGGAGGAGCAGTGTGGGGGGGGAGGGGGCAGGACAGCCCGGCCTGTGGGTGCGGGGCCTGGTGAGCCCCAGGAATCCCTGCGCCCCCCAGGACAGAGCAGCTCCGTGGCCTGCGATGCTCAAAGCCAGCACGCCAGGCAAGCAGAGGCTGGGCCCAAGCTGGCTCCACCGGGGAGCCGTAGCCCAGGCACCAGGCCGCGCTGGAGAAGCCGCCCTCAGGCGTGTCTGGTGAGGGTGGCGGAGGTGCCTGCCCCGCGCCACAGAGCCACACTCGGTGGCCACAGCCCGATAACCCGCAGGCTGGGCGAGTGGGACCCAGGGCAATTCCCCTGCCACCTGCGGGGCAGAAAGGGGGGGCTTGGGGTTGCTAGGCAGGCACCCTCAGCCCCTGCTCTGCATGCGGGTCCCCGTGGCTCTGGAAGGGAAGAGGCCCTGGGCCAGAGTGGGAGGCCAGGGGACAGCTCTGGAGGCAGGTTTAAGGCACCCACCCAGGAGAAGGGGCCCAGGCCTGTTCGCTTGCGCCCAGCACAGGACAGAGGCGAGCGGGCGGACGCCCCAGAGCAGGTTCCTGCCAGGCATGAGACGCCTCTTCAAAGCGTTTCTCCCCCCCTGGCTGTAGCCCAGCTCCTCTCACGCCAGGCGCAGGCCCAGCCCCAGAGCGAAACTCGGGCAGCCCCACCTCCTCTGGCCATGCTCAGAGCAGGACCTAGGCCACATGACCTAGCAGCTCAGGCCCATGTGCACCAGGCCATCTTTACAGGGTATGGAGCTGCGTAGGGCACCTGAAAATTTGGAGCACCACGGAGTCTTACTGTCCACCCCCCACCGCTTCCTGTCCCTGCTCTGGTCTAAGGCACGGAACAGCCACAGACCACGTGGCAATGAAGCCGCTTCCCGGGCACGTGCCCCCTCCCCAGGGACAGAGCATCGGCCTCAGTTTACCGTGTCAGTTGACAGGACCCGAGTGTAAAATTTGCTTTACACTAGGACGGTCAATTGAGCTGCGTTAACGCCTGCGCTTAACAGGAAAGGGTGAATGCGTTAATCGCAGTGCTGCTCTCGCACTTCAAAGGGGCAGGTTTGGGGCAGATTTGCATCCCTGGCTGCTGAGGTCCCCACAGGCGCAGGCCCAGCTGTTGGGTGAGCGTGGACGGGGCGCTGCTCAAGCAGCTGCTGCCACGCGGTTTCTTTCCACCCTCGATCTGGACCACACTCCAGTTTTATCACGTCACTGGTAGGACGAGACTGGTTGGGTCAGGGCAGGAAGTGGGGGCTTCCGCAGAGGGGCTGATTGATATGAACCGGCAACAGGAGGTGGCACCAGGACCCCGACGCCAGACAGTTTGGTCACCTGAATATTGGCGGCGAGGAGATTTCACGCCCGGCCGAGGCGCGTTTGTTCAGGACACTAACCTTGGGGCAAGAAGGTTGCCAGCGCAAGAGAAGTGTCTCCAGGGGCCAGAGAACCACCTTAGAGACCAACAGAACCCGTAATAGCCGAGCTGTCGCGGGCACAACCCGCTTCTTCAGGTGAGCCCTGGGCCCAGCTTCCAGCTCAGCTGAGGCAGTGGGCTCAGGATACTACTTATCGCTCCATGTTCCTCTAAGGTGCCACAGGACTGCTCCTTGCTTTCCACGTTACAGACTAACATGGTCGCCCCTCAGACTTAGGGACATACCATGCAACATGGGGGCTGTCGTTTGACACTAGACCCCAGCTACGGGATAATCGACACAGGAAGCTCGGGAACAAGCGAGAGGCGTAAAGCGGGTCACAACGCTCCCAGAGAGCGGCTGTTTGCCCCACAGGGCTTGGCCAGTTTGAGTCTCCAGTGGCTGGCGTGGGGCCGTGGGAATTACTCGATGACTAGCCAGCCTGAGAAACGGAGCAGGTTCGATGAGCCAGCAAGGAACCTGTTGGGTTGATTAAAACCAGCCTTTTCCTTGTGAAGCGTCTTGGGGGCGCCGAGTAGGTTTTCAAGTGTCCCGACGGCCAGTCTGCCCCGAGTCCTGGCTCCTTGGAGCGGGAAGATCACGACTGAGCAGCCTCAGAGGCGAACGCGCCCAGTCACCTGCTCAAGGACCTTTCCCCATTGGTGGCCTTGGGCAGAGCCAGTGCTCAGCGGAGTCGGTGGGAGGCTGCCTCTTGGCTCTTCCCGGCCCCTGGAGATCTAGCTGCATGTTCCTTAGGTCATCCAGCCCCTGGAGCACAGACTGGGGAGTGGCTGAGAACCGGTTCTCCGGTTTGCCTTTCCCTGCCCCCCACAAAGGCTGCCCAATACCCTCCTCTTCTGCCCCAACCAGCACCTGCTGGGGGGGTCAGATGGGGCCTGTGGAGTCAGCTGGTGCTCAGCTCCTCTGCCCAGAGAAGGGGTCAAAGTGGCAGCTCGGTTCTTCGCCCTTCTGGGCCTGGAAGAGCAGCAGGTCCCAGTTGCAGAGCTCTGCTCCAGCTCGCAGGACTCGAGAGCTTCCCCCCTCGGTTACTTCTCGCGCCAGCGTCCCTGCGTTTGGGCCGCTGCCTGGAGGCGCCTCAGGGGAGAGCTCTCTCCAGCACTGGGCAGGGGAGCCAGGCTGCAGAAGCTGCGACTCCGGTACCAGCCAGGAAGTGCAACTGGAGGAGCTGGGTCCCTCGCTCACAGGTGACCCTCCAACGTTGTAGCAGCTGCTCAGAGACTGACCCTCCACAACCCAGTTGGTGCCAAGGAGCCCCCCCATTGGGGCAGCGGGGGGTTTGGCAAGGGGACCCCAGGGAGTCACTGCCCTCCCCCATTCCTGAGCATGGAGACTGGCTCTAGGACACAGCCAGCCCCGGCCCGAGGGGGAACTGAGGCAAGGGAGCGATCCCAGGGGGCCTGAAAGAGGAACCGGCTCCTCGTGGCGGCGCTGCCTGTTCCTCAAAAGTCAGCGCGGCTCCGTCCCCTGGACTGCCAGACGAGAGCCCAACGCTGGCCTGAAGGATGCAGGTGCAGCAGGGAGATGCATGTGTTGTGGGGGGGAGACACGGAGCCAGGAAGGGCTCCCCTCCCCCCCCACCATCCTGTACCGGCCCAGACAGGAAGGGCTCCCCTCCCCCCCCTCCATCCTGTAGCTGCCCAGAGCAACAGGCCTGCAGAGAGCAGAGCAAAGGCTGGAGCCTGAGCCCTGGGAGGCTGCGTGGTGGGCCCCAGGCCGGGGAGCCCCCTGCTATCCAGTGCTGCTGCCGCTGTATCAGAGGCAGTAGGGGGGGGGGCCAGGG